GTGCACTGTCATACAAATGGAGAAGTCCTCGTGCTCCAGTGATCCAGATGTAGAAAGGGATTTGCCTGGCCTGTCACTGTGGGGTGGGTGGGAGGTCAGTATTTCCTTCAGTATACTGAGGGGAGCCAAATTTTTGGGGAGTGCCACCCTAGCATAGGTGCTAATAACTGATAAGTTATTTTGTGCTTGTCACAAACTCTTCTTGCACTTCTGAGGAGTCTCATGCCAGCTCTTCCAATTACGTGGAAGCAAGTAATTCTAGGAAAAATGAGCTGCAAGGAGCCTTCTACATCAGCAAAGATAACAGGGCTAAGATGAGACCAAGACGTGTTCTGCGTGGACGTACCACGAGGTTTACACAGCTTGCCTCAAACAAATGAAAGTAATGAAGGTAGCTTTATAAAGGCAGGGAGCAGAAAATGAAGAGCTGAAGGGTTGTCCAGTTAGTGGTTTCTGCTCATCACCCAAGTTGTGCCCGTATTCTTAATAGTGTACATTCTGCACACTGCAGGGATATAAAGGAATGCATAGTAGAGAATGTAAGTGATGCTAATTGGTTTCTACTTAAAGCATAGTTTATGATCAGTTAACTTGAATGAAAGCTGGTTTCATTGGCTGATTTTTATTTTTGTATTAAATGATTCTGGAAGATAAAAGTTAAGAGTTGAACCTTGAACCCTTTTAGAGCAGCTATAAATTATACATGAATTCTACGTTCCTCCTCCAAGCTTGTCATGTGGCTCTGTATATCTGAAACTGTTTCTTGCACCGTCATTTTGTAGCATTCAAAAAATTATGGTTTTCCTGTGACATAATGTGTTGGCAAAAGCATGGTACAGACTGATCCAACTTTTTTTTTGTAACTCATTTAATTTCTTTGTTAAATGCGTCTTGTGAAGCAAACTCGTGGTAAGAAGTACTTGTGGGAAACGTAGTGTATTTTGGATGCTACCCTGGTAGTGGGATCCGGATAATTTGTGATGATTTCCGTCCTTCATGACTCTTGCAAGGGGGATGTAGAGTCAGTGTCCTGTACAGTTGAGTATGAACATTTTTTTCTCTGAGTTCTCTGAATTAGTTTTTCTTAGATATGGTAGCCCTCTTCCCTTCTTGTCTGAAATCATATTGCTGTATTGTTTTTGTATTTGTGTATGTTCTGTTGCAGAGATGTCGATAACAAGTGTATTAATTCATAGATCTGTATATAATGTGAACAGTAGTAGAGAGTTGTGTAAATCTCATGAAAAACATGCTATAAATGCAAGCTCCTGCTGTTCACCTGAGTATTAAAATCAAAATGGAAACATATTTTTTGATTTTTTTTTTTATTTGACTGTAGGCCATAGCAAGAATGTGAGGTTGAGTGGTGCAGAAAAGTGAACAGTGATAAACAGTGATTAGAGATGGAAGTTTTTAAGATTGAGGTTTGAGAGGGAACAAATGAAACAAATACCTAGTGGCAATTTGCTCTCGGCCTCAGTTTCACGTGTGGTTGTAGATCCATTTTTGTAGGCTAGATAAGGAAATGAATGATGGTGAAGGTGAAAAGATTATCAAGCAAGGAGGTTACGTTACTACCATTTGAAAAGGTGAAAGATAGAGAGGAAAGGAAAAATCAGAGCTAAGAGTTAAGGCTGAAGGAATAGAAGGAAAAGGAGGGTGGCTGATAAAATTGATGAATGATAGAAGTACATGCACCTCAAGCAGAATTTGGAAATAGGAGAGTACAAGATAGGTAGTGGAGCAGTTGTGATCATGTAGGAGACATTACTGTCTTCTAGGACTGCCTAGCACCTAGGGAAAAGGAGAAGGTAAGCAGAAAGGAGGGATCACGGATTGTCCTTGCTGTCCAAAAGGTCATGCAGAAACTCCTGGGAGAGGAGAAAGGACTGTGAGCAATGAAAGCGCCAGTCCTTTCCGGAGCCAAGTTGTGTACAAGGAGGCACATGTAAAAGGAAGAATAAGGCGGATAATAGCAAAAGAGCCAGAAATGTTGAGAACGTGGCCAGTTGTTGTCAGGGCACTGGGAGGGCTGGCGGCTCCTGGGGCCAGTGTCGAGGGCTGCCGGTGGGGCTAGGCTGGGCCTGGGCACCAGGGCCCGTCCCCCT